GTCAAGCCTCCGAGAAAGTCGATGGGGCCGGGCGTCCTCGAGACCGAGTACAGAATGGCACAGAAACGGCGTCCCAGCTTGATCTCCAACGCTTCCGACGCGGACAGCTCGCGTGTCTCTCTTGACAGCTACACCACTTCGAACGGGGAGCACTCCAGGACGCTGTCCTCGTCGAGGACAGCAAAGGCTCGATCGGTGCAGCCGCCCGCACGACTGACGACGGCGAACTTCGCAGAGCCCACGGCAACAAGCATCAACAAGTCTCTCACGCCTACTGGGAACCGCACATCGGCTGCCTTTCCTAGGTCGCCACGAACGAGCACGAAAGTTAGCACGCCAGCATCCGGGCGCAGGGCTTCGGTCATGCCCTCTGCGCATAGCAGCCATGCTACGGGGCTCGGCGCGAGAACAATCTCGCCAACGGAAGTCAAGAGGATGAAGAGGATATCCCAGCATCCAATACAGAGTATTGCACAAGTCGCCAGTGTTCCGCCGCAACCCGTCGCCGAGCTCCGTCAATCCTCACGATCACCTTCCTTGATTCCGAGGAAGTCCTCAACACCATCCAGTTCGCGGACAACCCCAGAGGTCAGCAATCGCAAGTCGTTCAGTTCTGGCTTATCTATGGGCTCGGCGGCGAGCGTGACGACGCAGAGGACCTCCACAGGCTCTGTGAACCGCGGGCTTGCGCCGTCTGGCTCGGCATCGCGCCTTCCCGCCCCCAAGAGTCTCGTGTCTCACCCTCATCCGCAGACGACTGCTGAAGTCGATGAGGATGTGCCCCCAGTGCCAGCAATTCCTAAGGCTTACGAGTCGCCGAAGGCGTCTCCCGGCGAAGGTTCTTTTGGCACTGATACTCGAAAGTCAGGCTTCCCGTTTGACTCGAGCAGTACACACAGCAACTCCACCAGAACGACACCGAACCCACCTGCAATCGAGACTACGGCAACTTTGAAGCCGTCCGCGGCAGCGACGGCACGGAAGATCAGCGCACAAGGTCGTCCCTCGAAGAATACCACCACGACGGGCACCCCATCTGATCATGATGAGAAGCCCAGCACACCTCAATCGAGAAAGAGTCTACAGCCCCTGAGCCTGCCTCCGCTCACTCTTGGCCCTCTGAGCACCCCGACTGCGGCCAAGATAGCAGCACTGCACGAGCAGGACAGCCAGGCTGGACGGCCGCGGTCGCCAACTCTTCGTGCTGTACCTAAGACGCCTACGACCCCGATGACAGCGTCCAAGAGCTCGTTCTTCTCGAGTCGTCGCATGGACATTAACGCAGGATCCGAAGAGCCGCGGAGCAGTTCGGTACTCGGTAGGAACCATCTCGACACCCCCAGTGGGGAGGACACAACCAGCTACTACGACTCTCTTGACGACAAAGACTCGATCAGGAAGGTGACGGTGTCTCCATTCCTCTCGTCTTCTGTCCCCAAGGGTAACGGAGAAACGTTTGCAACCCACATGCAGAGGAGAGACTTTACGGACACGGGCAACCAGACGATAGCCATCGACACTACGTCTGCAGGCCTGCGCCCGCAGCAGAAGCCTACAGGCCCGCGCGAACTCAAGCCGCCGCCAAAGACTGAGGAGGGGCCAGTTCAGCCCACAAAGACACCGGACGAACCCCCGACACCGTCTTCGATGAGCTCACTGCGAAGGAAACTCAGTCTGTCGTGGAAGCGCAGCGCCTCGAAGAGCAGCATGCATGTGCCAGCAGGCTCCATCGACAAGACAGCCGCGCAAGGCATACGCCAGGAGAGCATGCCGCCGCCCAGGATCCCAGTCTCGGCGACCATGAACCTCAGCAACATGAAGACCTCGAGTCCAAGCCACGCGAGCAAGACCTCGATCAGCTACCTCGACTCGAAGCGCAGGAAGAGCTCTACCACCAGTCTGAGGAGCGCGCTATCTAAGGCTGACGGCACTTCTCAGGCGACCACTGAATCCGCGGTGTCGGGCTTGCGCTCGTCAAGCATGCAGCGTCTCCTACGACCTCGAGGTTCCGCGGCATCTGTCAAGCAACAACATCAACTGTACACTGCAAATGAAATGGACAAGGATGACCATGTAGCGGAGGAGGAGATGAGGAAGCTCGCGCTCAGACGGAAAGAGACGGAACTGGCAGCCAGGACACTTGATGCGCTGCGGAAGCGTGCAACACCAAAGGAACGCGTCGGTCCGCAGGAAGCCATCAGGATTGCTATGCTCAACATCTACGAGCGAGGGGAGATCATCGACTATCCGGACATCTTCTTCTGCGGTACGCAAAACGCCAGCAAGGTGCAGGGCGACCTGAACTCGAGCGTTCCCAACTTTGGCTATGACGACGAGCGGGGCGATTACACGATAGTCGTGGGCGACCACCTGTCGTTCCGCTACGAGGTCGTCGATATTCTCGGAAAGGGAAGTTTCGGGCAGGTCGTCCGGTGCATTGACCACAAGACGGGGGCACTTGTTGCAGTCAAGATTATCCGAAACAAGAAGCGCTTCCATCAGCAGGCACTCGTCGAGGTCGACATCCTGCAAAAGCTCCGCGAATGGGTGAGTTATACTGACGATGTGCACAACAATCTTGCTTACTGACCATCTCGCAGGACCCCAAGAACCGCCACAGCATGGTCAACTTCACCCAGAGCTTCTACTTCCGCGGCCATCTTTGCATCTCGACCGAGCTGCTGGACATGAACCTCTACGAGTTCATCAAGGCCAACTCCTTCCGCGGCTTCTCGCTGCGGCTCATCCGCAGGTTTACCAAGCAGATGCTGAGCTCCTTGATTCTACTGCAGCAGAAGAAGGTCATCCACTGCGATCTCAAGCCAGAGAACATCCTCATCCGCCACCCCATGCACACCGAGATCAAGGTCATCGACTTCGGCTCCAGCTGTTTCGAGAGCGAGAAGGTCTACACTTACATCCAGTCACGGTTCTACCGGTCTCCCGAAGTCATTCTGGGCATGAACTATGGTCTCCCTATCGATATGTGGAGTCTGGGCTGTATTCTCGCCGAGCTGTTCACCGGCGTGCCCATCTTTCCCGGCGAGAACGAGCAAGAGCAGCTCGCGTGCATCATGGAGGTCTTTGGCCCACCAGAGAAACACCTCATCGAGAAGAGCACGAGGAAGAAGCTCTTCTTCGACTCTATGGGCAAGCCGCGCCTTACTGTCTCTTCCAAAGGCAGGAGGCGGCGGCCCTCGTCCAAGACCTTGCAGCAGGCTATCAAGTGCGAGGACGAGGCTTTCATTGATTTCCTAGGTCGCTGTCTTCGCTGGGATCCGGATCGTCGTCTGAAACCTGACGAGGCCATCCACCACGAGTTCGTCACCGGCCGCAAGACGTCTGTTCCTCCCCCTCGCGTCTCTGCCCGCGATGGATCCCCGATCAAGCGCCACAACACAATTTCTACTCCCCGCCCGCTGCCTGAGCCACCCGCCGCAGCCAAATCGAGCACCATTCTGCGGCCACGGGATACGTCTGCCACCATCAGTCCCCACAAGCCCGTCTCTGGCGCTGCGCGGAGGACGTCTGCTGTCACCGGCGCGTTTGGAGGCTCCCTGACGAAGCGCACAAGCACTGGAACGGGTGCCATCGCACCGCCTGCTGCCGGCAGTGGACTGCCACGAGTGGCCGGGAGGACCGCGAGCGGCAAGCAGGATCTGGCCTCCGCAAGTGCGACCATAGCCATGAGCCGGCGAGCGTAGGGAACGTCAATGGCAAAGGCCTCTGCCACCTCCCGGCATGGGCGAGCTCATCCTTCGAACCTTGGCAAGACACGTGATCAATGAGCGGGCGCCTTCATGTAAGGCAAGCGGAACCTAAAGAGTTGTATCTCAACGATGAGACGACTGAACAAAACATACACCTTTTTTTGTGCATACAGGCAACCATCCACGAAGCCACGGCCCGCACTTCTGTAGAAATAGTCAGGGCTCTCTGGCTGTCCTTTTTAATGAGCATAGCATCCTACCTCCCAAAGTCTAGATTCATGTCCCTCATATCTATAGATACCACACACAAACTCCAACACGACTGCCCCATTGCACCGTTGCCTACGAGAGGACATGCAGGGGGCGATCATGATGATAGGCAATGCATGGGAGATGAGGAGTAACGACCAAGCATATACCAATATAGATCATGCGGACTTTTTCTTCTTGCATGCCATCTTGTGTACTTTTACAACTTGATTTCCGTGATACTTGGCGTTGAGGTCTGCACATGCATCGCAGCGCAAGTAGAGGGGGCAGCTTCAGGCTGTCTCCCCCTTTCAGAGGGATGGCCCTGTGTTCTGGATATATCGTCGACCGGGCTACGGATGGTGTGACGCACAATCACGCAGGCCACGATGACTGAATCCGTGAAGTATGTGAGGCTCAGGCACTCTCAAGGTATTAGGACTGCTAAAGAGTAGGCATTGTCATTGGATGCAAGGGGCTGTGTGCGTGTTAAATGTGCACAATGCTCGATACACTGCGTTCAAGGGAGGGCAGGTCGTGGTTGCGAGCCTTGCGACCTCTTTGGCCTTTGAAAATTGTTGAAACAGAGAACTCGACTGAAGGAAGCTCTCGAGATTGCAGTATTGTCGAATGCAAAAATGTGAAGCCGGGGCGTTGCTCATATGCATTTCCGCCTACACAAAGCCAGCGTGGCAGATGCAGGAGATGTGGCACGAGGTGAGATGCCCGATGAGATGCACGAGAGCCGTGTTCCGGACGAACCAGCACGTGAAAGACCATGGAAAACGTATCCAGCGACGGCCTAAGCAGGCTGCACTACATGTAATTGTCCTTTTCCTCGTGCTGGGTCCACTGCGCACATGCACCTGCTCCGCGTGAAGCCATCACCAACGTTATTCTGCAGCCTATCCGCACATCAACACCACATCTTCAAAAACTTATAGCACCGCCACCACGCATTAGAAAAATCCCAAAATATGCTCAAAATGTAGCCCGGGGACTGGAGAGCACGATGACGGCAAAAAAAAATGCCAAAAATAATGACCCTGACCCGATTTGAACGGATAACCTTCTGATATTATTTCCTCGTGGAAATCGCCCAAGATCACCGTTGATCGGTGATTTGATCCAAGATAAACTGGAGTCAGACGCGCTACCGTTGCGCCACAAGGCCTCTTATTGAGATGGAAGCTGAGAGTCTTATCTATCATTATACTTACTGCACTGGTGGTGTGGGACTACCTCGCCACGATGCGCCCCAACGTCCGCTGACTTGGATATCATATTCATGCAGGTGGGATTTGGTGGTGGAAATTTTCTTGTGATTATGAGATTGGCGTGATATTCATTTGCACGTGTGTATCCATCAGAAAGACTGGACCTGGCTGTCTTCACCTGTGCAATCTCCCATGGACTTATTGCCGCATGGTCGCCTACATAACACGCAAATCAAGAGTGCATGGTCCGGCAGATATCTTACCTCTTTCATGATTGACTGCATACTTTCAAATGGTCGGATTATGATAGTGATGGCTGATCATCTTGTAAGTGCCTTCCGGGCATACGAGCAATTCCGAACCAGCACAATGTAGTGATGAGCAGCTAGGGGCCAACAGGCTCGTTCCTGCCGTCTTCCAGTCGCCAACAAAGGCACACAGTGACGCCTGCCTCGCAATTCCCGTGATGCTGCAGTGTCGCCTGAGCTCATGTTTGCCCAACTCGTAATCATTGCCACCAGGAGGGTCTCCAACACGACGGCACTCACGAGAGCGCTCTTTTTTTGGAAGAATAATTTTCTTGAGCGACCTTCTCCTCTCGATGCCAGACAAGCCCATAGAACAGATCACAAACCACTGATCGCAGCACAACGTTTTGAACCGCGAGATCAAGCAGTCCGCCCTTGTGAGCTCACGCGCCTGCTATCACCGCCTCTGCCCACCCAGGTTATCGAGAACCGAGTACGCTGTCCCGTAAGATATATCCCACCTCTAAGCGTATCAAGAAGTGTACCGAACAAACATACTTGCCCAGCATGAGAGATGATGGAGGCTGATAATCTCCAGAAAAGTTCCACAGCGCATTTTGCTCAAACATCCACCCTGTTCCTGCCTCCGACATTCCACGCTGTCGTCCAAGAAGTTCCGGCATCAACACTCCACGCACACATAAGATGACTGCACCAAAACCTCGGCCTGAGAGGCCTAAACGCCATCGTCGATCGACGAGTTCTTTGGATCCAGATGGACAGGACATCAGAGACAGGCAGGCAAGCGATAGCTCAGGGGGCATCGCTGAGGTTCTTCTGCCAACAAAGTCCACCCCGATTGAAGCGGGTTCAGCTCTCTCGAATCATGACTGGCGGGTGAATCGACGCCCACGAGGGGCGACGACCGGATACATACAGAGCCCCGTGAGCGCTTCACACCGGTCGTATAACGTAACTGGCATCCGAGGGACCCGAAACCTTCGCATAGACACCTCAGTGGCTGTGCAGCAGGCTACTGTGCAGTATAAGCTGTCTGAGCTCGGTCCCGACCAGATACAATCCGCCCCGGCAGGGACAGGAGAAATCGACAGTTCGAGAGTTGTCTCATCAGGGACAGATTCATCTTGGGATCTTGTTGCGAGCCCCGTAAATCACCAGTCCGAGGCCTCCACCAGCACGAGCGGTTCTCGTTCAGTTCTCCCAGCTGATGGCGTGAGGGTCCTCCGCGTTGGAGACTGTTCTGCTCTGAGGACCTCCAGCTCAGAGGACAATAGCTCCCAACCCTTCATCCTCAATGGCTCTGTAGACCTCCGGCGTGTCAGTAGCCAAGCAAGGGCGTTCAAGCCACGGCCATGGAGCAAGGAAGACCTGGTTTTCTTCGCACAAACCACCCCAAGCGCAACAACAGCCGGGGGCTCCGAAGCGCGCCCTCAACACCCTCGACAGCTGACCGATGCAATAGCACCCAAGACAGTATCGTGGGAATCCCCACCGCCACTAGATGGGGGTGACGGGGGCACCTTTGACAGCGTCCACAGAGCAGTAGAGCAGGCACGATTTGCAGCACTGATAGAGAGACTCCAGAAATCAACACCAACGGCGCAAGATACATGCATAGACTCCATCGTGGAGATCAAACCCCCGTATGCTAAGACAGGCTCCACCAGTGATGGCTGTTACCGGCATTCAATACGACGTCCGAAATTGAACCCCAACGCGCCGGAGTTCCATAACCCTTCTTTGCCCACACAGCCTCCAGCAGCCTCGATCCCCGTCCAGCCACTACACAACCTGACAGATCCTACATGGTACTCTAGGCAGAATCTGAGTCTTCCGCCAGCGATTCCGAGTGCTCCCGTCGTGCCTCATGATGAGAATCATGTCTCGTAGCGAGAAGATCTGAAGACTATCGAGTCATGTATGACACGAATTGCAGACAGCTTCAAGGCGTTGGCGAATAGCTGTACCGACTCGAAGCCGCATCGATTTGATGCGACTTACGACAAGCAATCTCACGCATTCACAAACAAGCCGCCTCCAGGCAACCACTTTGGGGCGGACACTCGACCAGTTCCACAATCCATTTGTCCTCCGTGGATTGCACAGCCTCCGCAGAGACTGTACCAACCTGTGGTGCCCTATGATACGAGCTCCATGCTGGCCTCAAACTGGATAGGAAACTACACCATGCCGCAAAATACCTGGGCATCGACGATACTTCCCAGTCAGCCTAACAGACCAGTTCCATTCCACCCTTCCTTTCTACCTCAGACTGCAGCTCGGGCACAACAACAGCGACCGAGGACCGTGCAAATACCAATCCATACCCCGCCGCACGCATCATCGGATGCTGCTCACAATCCACCACAGAATGAATCGTCCACGGGACAGCCAACAAGAGAGCAGATACTGCAGCTTTTCGGCCCAAAGCCTGTGCGTAAGCCACGCGGCCCTGTCCGCACAGGGGACCAGCAGCAGTATGAAGCATATTTAGAGTACAAGCGAGCAAGTGATCGAGAATACGCACAACAGTGCAAAGAGAGGCAGGCCAGACGTGCAACACGCTTTCAAAGGCAATCTGGCACCACAGCACAAGCTGACACCTTATTGATCGATGCCAATGCCTGAACGACACCTTTTCTGGAGGAAGAACACATACCGAATGCCTGGTGTCATGGAAAAGACGCTGTGACTCAGGCACACAGCAGCATCGCAAACGTGGAACACTGAGTCAAGGGTAAGTATGTCGAAGCGTGCGGACCTACCTGTCTCAAACATCATTTCCAGCTTCGTCACGATAGGACCATAGAATCATGTTATGCCTGGAGTAATACGGTGGCAAACAATTGTAATCTTAGCAGCGCGTTAGCCACAATTTTTACGTCGAAGTATTGAATGCTAAGCCTATCCTCTTCTTCTATTTTGACTTGCATCCATGTGTGACCTTGGCAAGGTGCATCACAATGACGAACACTGTGCGTTTATGACAATTCTGCACTGTGTCGCCAACGTGGAGTTGAGGCTGCTCCCGGACTTCGCAGCAAGCTTCAACAATGGCTGTCCCCACCAACGCATGCCTTGGACGACGATTACCTGGCGCGTCACAACCGCATCTCGCCAAACAGGAGCTGGCTGCGCCCCGGAGTCACTCTGCACCGACATGAGGTGAAAACACCCAGGACAGTTGGCCTAAACAGCCGCCAGTTGTGCGTTTAATGTGGCTGCACAATTGCCCCAAGACACCGAATCCCATCACAAGACGGCAGATAGTCTGTCAAGCCGCCCGCGCTGGCTCTGCAGCAGATCGCATCGCTCCGCCGACGAAGCCGGACTTAAGAACACAGGACTACTAAAAGTACGGCCCTCGACCACACCTACACGATGTCGACACCAATGCGCCACGGGCCCTCCCAGCAGGGCCGGACGCCATCGCAGCAAGGCCGGACGCCATCGCAATATGCCGGAACAGCGCCCACACCACAGGCATCGACGCCTTTCTCAAACTCGCAGGGCCAAGCAGCCTTCTCGCCTCGCGGGCCTCGATCGTCACCACAGCAGTTCAAGAAGTCGCCGGCCGCGAAGAACTCCCCCGCGAACATGATGGGCCACCCCAGTAACGCGCCGGTGAACTTCGACAGTCCCACCGCTGCGGCCGCGCTGGGCGCGCTGGGTATAAACGACCTTGGGCTTGACAACATCAGCATGAGCGGGCTTGTGGCGGGTTCAGGGCGTGGTAGCGAGGAGGAGTTCAGGAAGAAGCTGGACGACGTGATAGACCTGCTCTGGGTAAGTGAGAAGGCGCGTCACGAGGATCTGCCCGGACTCCGCTGACCGTATACAAACAGAGTGCTAAGAGCGCTCTCGTGAGCAACGACGCCCTGGAGCGCGTGGCGAATCACCTCGGACTCGAGTGCATGTGGGAGGACACCATCGGTGGAGGGGAGGGCGCCAAGACACTGGTTATTGCTGGCACTGCTTTTAGTGTGGAGATCAATGTCAACAAGAACATTGTCCAGGAAGCTGCGCTTGCGTTTGGCGAGGAGGTCCCGATCGTGGACAAGCATGTTGCAAAAGCATCGGCCGTCCTGAAAGACGACCTTGTCCTCGCGTCGGGGCAGATCCCGCTCACAAAGCGAATCCGAGACTTCTGGAGCAACCTGGAGCGCCTGCGGGATCTAGACAGATTGAGTGTCACTCCCGGCTTCAACTGTCATGAAGCAGTCGCCGGCTTGTTCGAAAGTCTACACAGCCTACATCAATGGGATGTGACAAAACTACGTGAGATACCCCAGTTGAGCACAAAAAGCCCAGAACAGCTGGAAGTCTGGGCCTTGGCATCGAGGAATGGCGTTCCGCAGATGCACGTGCGGCATCGGATTGGCCTTACGCTCGACTACTGGATGGAAAAGTACAAAAGGCCCCAGACCAAGATAGGCAGAGAGGACGCGAAGACATGGGGCATGTTCCTCAGCTGCGTGCCTGCGAACGAGATGACCTTCAACCCAGCCCGCGTATCCGACAAGTGGATCGGGCCAAACGTCGAGAAGACGAACCCCTCGGACGAGGAGGTGATGGTGGCAGGCGGCAATCCGATCATCGACTGGCTGGAGCCCGCGCCCACTCTCTTACCCGCCAGTGACAGCACGAAGACTGAATCCGGGATGGACCCAACTGCGGACAACATGTTA